CCAACCTGTTCCCAAGCTAGTGTAAAGGAGGAAGGGAGGAGACAGGGAGGAGCCTCCCTGTCCCTCACTTGCTCCTCACTGCAGAGGCATCGAGATCGATGGCCTCAGTGTTTTTTTTTCCCCTCTTTTTTTGATTGAACAGCTTGGACCAATGGAGCTTTGCCATTGGTCCAAGCCTTCCACAGAGCTCATGCCTCTAACAAAGAGTAGAGGCTGTGACAGCTCTGGCTTCAATAGTTAGGTTACACGGCAGGGGGCTTCCCCACTGCTTGTGTAACCTAACTACCTGTCAAAAGCTGGATGCGGCGCTGCCTGTAATTAACAGGCAGTGCTCCGTCCATGACAGGTCACACAGCGGGGAGGCTTTCCCTGCTGTGTAACCCGTTAGATGCCGAGCTGAATGGAGAAAAAGCCGCCAGCTTTAGACTTGAAGCGGACAGCTTTTTCCTCCATAATTCTAGGCGAGGCTCTGCCACACCTGCCTCCCCTGACCGCACGTCCCTGAGCTAAACTGAATGCAGTTCCACACAGGTAAACACAAAGTCTGAATGATAATACTGAAAACCAATTGCATGCATTTATATGCATTTAGAAATGTGATCCAAAAGCATATAAACCAGTGACTGCTGTACATTCCGTGCTAGGTGAGGCATTCTTCCTGCCTGTCCCAGCTGCCCCTCCCCCCCCCTCCGGTCACCAAGCTATGTGTGGAGGAGGGAGGGAGGGAGGAAGAAGGGAGGAGACGGGGAGGAGCCTCCCTGTCCCTCACTTGCTCGTCATTGGTGAGGCATCGAGAGCGATGTCCTCAGTGTTTGTTTTTTTGTGATTGGACAGCTTGGACAATTGGTCCAAACCATTTACAGAACTGAAGCCTCTAAACACAAATTAGTGGCTGTTGCCCCTCTTGCCTTGCTATGTTAGGTTACCCAAGCATTGGAGAATCCCGCTGCTGTGTAACCTAACTTAGCTGTCAAGTCTCTGTCCATGATGGGTTACACAGCAGGGAGGCTTGCCTTGCTGTGTAACCAGTTACAATCCGCTCTGAATGGAGAAAATGCTGTCAGCTTCAGACTTGAAGCTGACGGCTTTTTCCTCCACAATACTAGGTGAGGCTCTGCCTCCCCTGACAGCACGTCCCTGATATAAACACAGGTTTGACATTACCAGTGTGAAAGGGCCTTAAAAACTTTACAGTACATGGAAGTCTGGCTAACCTCTGTGCGTTAACTAGTCCCATGAACACTATTCCACTTTGTATTCATGACGCTATTATCATTTTGTAGTTTGGGCATCCTGTTCAAGTAGTACAAATCTTTCACACAAGTGAAAAATAATTCCGTGCATTGAAAGTAATGATTGCTGTGCAGTTTTCTTTTTGCAGGTATGTTTTACATTTAAGTCACCCTGTGCCAACAAAGGCACTTTAATATCAAACTTAATCCAGAGATTGCAAATTCAATGAAACCAGTATGACTTATGACATGACGATTGCACAAATCATAGCATTAAATATGCAGAGACAGCTGTAGGTTTCTAAATGAGTAACTTCCTGGTAGCATATTTCCTCTGACATTAGCAATACATTCTAAAATCCCAAGTCAGTCAAGAACAAATGTCAACTTGTTTTCCAACAAAACTGCTGTGCTTACCTTTGAGCAGTAGTAGTGATTGCATCAATTACTTCCATAATTCTGTGCAATGCTGAATCGGTTCCAATGGTCATATCTGTACCACAGAAGTCATTGTCAATTGAGCCAACAAGACCAACAATATTCAAATGAGAATACTTAGCAGCAACATCTTCAGTTATTTTTTCTGAAAAAAAGCAAAATGAACAGATATATTTATATTGTAGTCGAAGTTCATACAATGTCAGATTTCCAGTACAATCCATCATTGCCTTTAATGTAATTGTGTGAGGGCTCAGATTATTAATGTCCACCCCACCTCATTTCTCAATCATTCAGTTGATCTACTGGGCCAAACATTATATTTATGGATTTAGATTCCTCCCACAATACTTTATTATTTGCCATACATCACACAATCATTAATTTTTCTGAAATGCTATACAACTGAATATATACACAAAGGAAAAGGAGGGGCATATAAAGCAGTATTTCAAACAATAGGAAAAGGGAACAAATATCAATCCAATGTGCCCCTAACACACATGGGCCTAACTGGAAAGTGGATTGCAGCAGGTTTGGAAATAGAGCACTTACCAATGAGCACGTGCCATTTTCAGTGGGACATGAAGGTCTATGACTAGCTTTACATGGCATAATTATCCACATGATCATGGAAAGAGGGATTTACTTTAAATGGTGCATATTATAGGCATAAGAAAACATTTAATATGGGAGAGTAACAAATACAATAGGGTACTATACAACTAATGATTTTTTTTTAGTTGTGATCCCATAAACATTTTTAAATCTTCATCTTAAAAGGGGATGAATTATAAAAACAACCGCCCATCCATACAATGGCAGAATTCCATTTGCACAGAATTCCACCAACTGGATGGGCTCTCCATAGGTCCTCGGCCCAATCCAGTAGCAGGAATGCAAATGCAAATGCAAATACAGCAAGTGGAATTTACCAAGACAAAATCTGGAGCCACTGTGCATGGCAGCCAATCAGCTTCTAGCTTTCAGTTTCAAAGCTTAACCAAACAAGCTGAAAATAGAAGCTGATTGGTTGCTATGCACAACTCCTCCTGTTTAGTAAATTCCCCCATAAGATATACAGACATTCTGGCTACCATGTTGCATTGATTCATATATTGCTTTACCTTCTTTAACAAGTTCCTCAAGCAGACCACTCCACTCCTTTCGAAAAATATTTGCCCCTGTTAAACTGCCATCACCGCCAATGACACACAAGTTTGTAATGCCATGCTCCACAAGGTTATAGGCTGCCGCCAGACGACCTTCGTGAGTGGTAAACGCTTTGCATCTGGCACTGCCAATAATGGTTCCACCCTGTAATAAAATTCACTATTTCAGTTTTTTAAAACATTACGATACATCCACAAAATAAAAACCTAAAATTAAAGATCTGGCCACACTGTGATTTAGGGTGAATGCTAAGCAAACAGATACCTACACAGATGAAATACATACATGGACTTGTTGTACCTGCCTTGACAACACTTTCTCTGTAACAGTTAAAGTGTATCTAATCACAAAGCTTTTTTTCTTTTTTACTTTACTTAATTTACCATTGTCTGTGTCCCCCGTAGCGAAATCTAACCCTCTCCATTTGTCCTGGTGACACAAAGTGAAGAAAAATCTCCACATTTTCCAGTTGTCACCATGACAGGATGGTGAAATTCATTCAATGTGAATACTTGTTATGGTGATAACTGTCATAGATGGAATTTCTGCCACTTTGGAGAGATTTTGCTCTCACATTTTGTTGTGTTTACAGGCCAGGATAAGAATTGAAATCCACCAATGAGACACAGATGGAAAAAAACTGACAAGGATTTTGACCAGACCATTTTAACCAATGCAAAAATCAAAATAACATTTTTGTACTTGCTGTAAAATGTTTTTCTTGTAGTCCATTGAGGGGCACAGGAATACTATTACAGTATGGTTATACTGCCAACTACAGGAGGTTAGGACACTGGCAACCAGAATAGATTACAAGCCAGTCCCCATATAACCCCTTCTTTACCCAGTATGTCTCAGTTTTGTGTGAAAGAAAATACACAGGTCCACAAAAACACAAAAGAGGGGTGGGATCTATGTCTTTCAATGAACTACAAGAAAAAGATTTTACGGTAAGTGCAAGTAAAAGATTTTACAGTAAGAAGAAAAATTCTATTACAGTCAGGGCATTCAAAAGTAGTCCAACTGAGGAGTGGGCAACAGTCACTGAAAATCATTAATTTTTATTGGTCTTATCACATGTTAGAGGTATCTGAAGGAACAAACTCCTAAACCAAGGACAGATGGGAAGAAACCCCCGGAAAGACAGGAGGAACTGCCGTGATTTGGAACTTGTTGTTCCAAAGCAGGACAAAGAAAATCACTGCCAAGGGGAAACTCCTGACTGAAGGAGCAATGTGCCCCTGCCAATAAGAAATTAACAACAACCAGCAATACACCAACAGGTGTAAAAGACACCTTACCAGAACAGGAATATACGCACAGAGAAGATCAAACATCTTAGAGGAAAGTTTGGACAACATAAATATCCAAGCTTTGTACTCCTAACCATAGAAGCGAGGAAAGAGGTTCAATGGTGAGAATAGGGCCGTCTGAGTGAGCAACCCATCTTTTAGCCAGACAGAAAAGTTGTTGCAGCTCTCTCAACATAACATCCCAAAGGGTAGACAAAAGAAAACCCATTTGAAAACCCACTGAAAAGAACCCAAGGGAAACCAGTCCTGAAGTCACCCTGAAGGCAAAGCAAAGCAAGCAAGCTAGCATCAGCCAAAAAAAAAAAAAAGC